CGCGTACCATCCATTCCCGCTCGGGTACGGCGGTGCGCCGCCGCCGCCGCTGCCGCCGAGGTTCCCCTCGCTGGCGGACCTGAGCTGGCCCTCGCTCGCAGATCTGAGCTGTGCCACGTTCGTCGCCTCCCGCGAGACCAAGCCCCAGCCCGCGGGCACCGCAGGCGGTCTCAGGAACCCTTGGCCTGGCACGGGTGAAGGTGCCGAAGCAGCAGCAGCAGCAGCTCCCGTCGGCCGACCGCCGCCTGCGGCTGATACGTCAAAGCACGCGGCGTGCACGAGGACGAGGCCGGCGACCTTGACGAGGGTGAAGACGACGCCGAACAGCGAGGAAAAGGCCCAGAGGCCGACGATGGCGGCCAAGGCGGTGAAGCCGGACATGATGCTCTGGGTGGAGGCGTACTTCCGCACGCCGAGGTCGCGGGCGAGGTCGCGGCCGTTGTAAGACTGGATGAAGAAGCCAAACTTGACGACGCCGAAGAGGGCGGCGAGGACGAGCCAGTGGGTCGCCAGGAGGGTGCCGACGAGGAGGATGAGGTAGACGTTGCTGTGGCGGGGCAGGTTCGTGGCGAGGCGGTCGTGGAGGACGGCCTGGGAGGGGGGCGGGTGGAGGTTCTTTGGGTTGATGAGGTTCGTCACGGGGGTGTCGGGGAGGGGGCCCAGTTCAAAGGTTGAGGTGGAGAGGTTCGGGATGGATTGGAAGGCGTGGAAGGCGTTTTGGAGGTTGCTGAACATGGCGGCTGGCGTGAAGGAGGCCGCGTTGCTGTTTGAGCTCACGATGGTGTTTCCTTTGGTGGCTTCTGGGGGGTCCTTTGACGACGATGAGCTGCCGCTTCCGCTTCCGCCACCGCTGCGTCGCTTCTTGCGGTGCTTTGTGTCGCGGGAGGGTCTGGCGTCACGGGAGCGGGATCGCGAGCGCTGCCTGGCGGAGGAGGAAGAGTCTTGACCTCTGGCGGCCGGTCTGAGGGAGTACTCGGCGACGTCCCATCTCGAGTCCCGCGCGGATGAGGTTGGGTAGCCATAGGGCTCGCGATATCCAGAGTCCCGTGTGGGAGCATCTGAGTAGGAGGAAGATCTCGCCATGGTCGAAAGGCAGACTTGAGTGAGAAGCTGTATGAGGAGGCGTGAGGGGTGGATGGTCGAGGAATGAAGGCAGGGTCTGAGAAATGAAGAGACTGCCGGACGATCAAATTCCAACGCAAAAGACAAGGTGCGAACAGGAAATGACTACAGCAAGTCGAGTCTGAGCGAGGGAATTTTAAAAAAAGCTGGGAGCGACAAAGAGTGTGTTCAGTCGGTCAGCGAATTCCTGTGTCTTTTTTGCCCGTCGGATGGATGCAGCTGCAGTTGTACCCGACCCTGGCGGCGATTGGCGGGGGATGTTGCGGTGGAGCCGCTTCCGGATAGCCGCTCCCAAGAACCAAAGACTTGGCGATCTTCAACTTCACCTTGACACCTTTTCACCGGTACTACTCCTATCTGGAGTTATAGTTGTACTAGAAGAGATTCTCATGCACCGAGTCCTTGGCGCTGCCTTGAAATCCCCTCAAGGTCAAAGCGATGACATTATCCCTCAGGCTTCAGCTTTCGTGTCAAACCTGGGACGGCCCGTTAGCTCCAGGGTGGGCATGAGGGGCAGCTCCTCCAGGTGCGTCATCACAGAGCCCCCAGCCACTTTTGGAAGAATTCCAGAATCATTCCAAACCATACGAAACTTTGCTTCTAGAACCATGAGGGCCATTCCAACAACGTCCAATTGATTCATTTGTATTAAATACCCTCTTGAGGGGTGTCGTTTCCCAACCTTCCAAGGCTATGGACAGGGACGCACCGTTGATCACCCTTGGCCCGGATGAACTCGCCCTATTCGAGCTTCAGGGATAGACGCCTTTACCTGGCTCATTCTGGAAAAACGTAGGCGGCAGACTAAACGACGGCTCGACCTTTTGCACCTGCTGGACGCTATCCCTGATGATATCGTACCCAAAGTTATACGCAAAGAACTCTTCCGGGTTTTCTGCAACACGTCCTGTCAGCGGCTTCTTCACACAAGCACCTTCACTATCAGAAGCCTTCACAGAGCTTGCACTTACTAGGCACTTTGTCCCCGGGAACGAACTTGGCCGCCTCTTCCCGTATCAACTCGGGCTCCTCTTGACCAGCGTTACTGAAAACCTGCATCACGCTGGCGCGGTTTCTCCGAATGCTCTCATACACTTGCAGACGAGACTCAACGTCTTCAACCTCGGCGCCGGCCAGCGCGATGCCGAGAGCCACGCCGTCTTCGATACCTTGCGCACCGCCTTGGCCCTGGTCTGACGTAGCTCATCTGTTAGCAATCGGTAGATGGGCATGGGAGTATGACCGGATATGCTGTCGTTGAAACTCACGTGGTAGCATGGGGTGCGCGGCATCGCCAGCCAGCGTCAACTTCCCCTTCGTCCATGTAGGGATCGGGGCTCTGTAGAGGAGTGCCCATTGCTTCACCTCAGTAGCCTTGCTAAGCACGGTGTGAGTACTGATCGTGTATGCACGAAGTGAGGTTTCTTACTCAAGAATGGCCAAGACCCTTGGGTGGAATTCGGAGTATCTCTCCAGCAGCTTTTCTTTGCTTACAGAGGCGTGCCAGTCCTCCTTTTTGGTACTCTCAATATCGTCGTTGTTGAAGATGGCCACAAAGTTGTGGATCTCATTGCTACTCGAGTTAGCACACAGGCGAATAACATGTGCTTCCTACTCATCTCGCAACTACTACCGTAGTGTAGAAGATTGGGACTTACTTTCGACAAGGGTACGAGACTAGACGCTTCTTGTCTCCAAGCAGGAACTTCATCCGCCCATCGTCGCCCTCGTTCCAGAAGCGCGTGACCGGGTCCGCCTCGACATCGGCAGCTGGTATGAGGAAACGGAAGCAAAAGTTGTAGTGCCCTTGAGGCACCGCGGGGTTAGAGCGGCCGAGGATCGCCTCGACTCCAATGGTGTGGACGCCATCTGCCGCAATCACCACGTCGCCTGTGACTTTCTCGCCGGAAGCCAGTGTTATTGAAGCTCCCTCGGGATCCTAGAGACGTGTTAGCCAGACTCTACGAGGGTGATATGGACAGTCGCCACTTACATATGCCACAATCTCGCTCTTCAAATGGATGGTCGCAGGCCGCCCTAATCCAGCCCTCGACTTCTCATGTCCATTGGCACCATTCATCTCGGTCCTATTTGCCTCAACAACGCCATTGCCATTGACATGGCCATTCACACCACCCTCAGGCTCCGTCGCCAACCTCTTCAGCTCCTCGTGCAAATCGACGCGGTGCGCAAAGTACCACGGCGCGCCGTACCGCTCCTCGATATAATCCTCCGTGCCGACGTGGAACTTCTCCAGCGTGTCCCCCTTTGCGCGAAAACTGCACTTGACGAGGACGAACTTGGCTTTCACGGGATCGAGGCCCCAGGCGAGGAGCGCGCGCGCGGCGTTGGGACACACGTGGATCGCGGCGCCGATCTCGTTGTTGAGCGCGGACCGCTCGTAGACGTGGACCTCGTGGCCGGCGCGGCGGAGGCCTACGGCCGCGGAGAGGCCTGCGATGCCGCCGCCTGCGATGAGAATATTGAGGGGTGCCATTGGACGTGAGAGAAACTCTCGCAGTTTTACTCTGCGGTTGGGTTTCGAAGCGACAACTGGGGTTGCCTTTCAACGGGTAAGAGATGGTCGCACAGACCTTTGGAGACGTAGCAAAGATTCTCTTCAGATGATGTGTATATGTAAAACAAAACGGTTCGTCTGAGAAGGAGAGGGAGTGAGATGCCAACGGCGCGTCTATGTCTCGACCGCGGGTGGGAATCGCGTAGGTTGGATGATGGACCTAGGCTTTGGCCCCTTGGGTCCACGCACTAGACGATGCGGGCCGGAGTTAGCTTCGCAGAGAACATGACCCTACGGATGCTCGGTTCTAACTGTCCAGAGTCCGAAGTCCCTGTGGTGATGGAGAGTGGTATGGACTCTGTTCGGATCACGTTTCCATTTACAGATGACGATGCATCTTTCGACGGGGGCAGCGGTCCAACCTACCCATTACCTCCCCACGGAGCTCGGTCAAAAACACTAGATCCATGGGCCAGAGACGTCTCGATCGTGCCAGATGAAGGGAACCCTTGAGGTTCTTGATTGGAAATTGGGAGTAGGTCGGACGATGAGCCAGGGCGAGGGGGACCGGTCGAACAGGCCCCAGTGAACAAGCAGCTGGTCCGAGTCTGTGCCGCAACTGGCGGGGCAAGTGTTACATTAGCAATGGAACGTCGACACGTACGCTCCTATCATGGTACATAGTATGGACTTTGGGCAATGGTGGGTGGGTGAGATTCTCAATGGACATATGCGCACATCCTCCGTAGAGCAGTGTCTTTGGAGCCATTGACTGTGTAGATACACTAGTGTGGAGTGGTACTTTTGGGACGGTTGGTTGGAAGTTCTTGCAGACGAGGAGGTCGTCTCCCAGGGGTCTTACTCGACAGGGAGTGATCCGGGAACAGGGGTCATGCGCTCCGCTGAAGAGGGCGGCCAGGGTTCATGGATTATAGAACCGTGTATCGTTTTGGTAGCTTCCGTGAGAATTGTAACCCTTGCGACTTATAGCTGGGATGGGCGACGGGGTCATTGGATCCCCTGCTCTGAGCTGCCGCATGAGTTCTAACCTCCGATGTAGAGCAGAATGCAACAGCGGACGAGATGAGAGAAGACGATGAGGAGTTTGCCAGCAATCGTACGGGGTCGAGAAGCCCTTGTTCTGTGAAGACTTTGGCTGGTCAAGGGCGGGCATCGAGGATGGGCGGGACGTGGGAGAAGGATGTCTTTGATTACGAAGGAGACACAAGGGGAATAACATCCTGTGTTTTTTGGGTAGACTTTCTATTTTGATGTTTACGTTCTTCATCACCTCCTCTGTTTCCAGCCATTCATTCATTTCCGAATGTGTAAGTAGCCGACGGCATCATAGACCGCCACGATGTCAACCACGAAGGATGTCATCACAGACAATGTCCAGGAAACTGGATCAATGAGCGAAGCAAAAGCCCCGGCAGCTCCCCCGAGCAGTCGTGATGAACCCAAAGAGAGCATCGAAGGCTCCGATGAGCCGGTTCCTCACTTGCACGCAAAGACGTTTCTCACAGTCTTTGCCGTCTGCTTCATCTACTTTGCTCAACTCATCAACGTTGTCGGCGCCGGAGCTGTGAGTAGTTCACCATGATTCTGCCAAACTACCTATTAGAATCGGCCATGTCTAACTTGCATTCTCTCTACAAGCAAACCCAAAACATCGCCGCCGTACTGGGGGAGAGCGACAAGAGCGTCTGGCTAACCTCCACAATCGCCATCATGACAGTCGTCCTCTCCCCCATCGTCTCCCAAGCCGCAGACTACTGGGGCCGCCGCTGGTTCCTCATCGGCCTCACGGCCTGCGGCGTCGTCGGCTCCATCGTCGTAGCCCGCGCCTCCACGATGGGCATGGCCATCGCCGGCTTCACAATCACGGGCTGCTCCTACGGCGCCCAACCCCTCCTCCACGCCGTCGCCTCAGAGGTCCTACCCCGACGCTACCGCCCGTGGGCACAAGCGGCCGATAATCTGTCGGCCGCAATGGGAGGCCTGGTGGCGCTCCTAGCCGGCGGCGCGCTCACGCGCAACGGCAACGCCGCGGGTGTGAGGAATTACTGGTACATGGCGACGGCCATCTACTTTGTCGCCACGGCCCTCGTCCTGACATTGTACAACCCACCAAAGACGGCAAATGAGACACGCTTCAGCGTCTCTGAGAAGCTTGCGAAGCTCGATTGGGTTGGGTACGCTCTCTTGTCCTCGGGCCTGGTGCTCTTCTGCATGGGCCTGTCATGGTCTCAGAACCCCTATCCCTGGACCGACGCGCACACTGTCGCGCCGTTCGTCGTCGGCTGCGCGCTCTGCATCGCTCTGGCCATGTACGAGACGCGCTCCAAGAAGGACGGCATGTTCCACCACGGGCTCTTCAGGAATGGACGCAACTTCCCCATCGCGCTGGTCTGCGTCTTCGTGGAGGGTCTTGTCTTCTTCGCGGCCAATAATTACTTTGCTTTCCAGGTCGGCGTGCTCTATGAGACGGACTCATTGCGCACCGGGCTCCGGTATGGTGTTACCATGATTGTCTATGGCGTCTCGGCTGTCTTGGCTGGGTTATGGTGCTCGAAGACACGTAACGTCCGCTGGCCTACCGTCGTGGCGTTTGTGTCCATGATTATCTTCTTCGTGTGCATGGCTACGACTACACCGAGCACCTCCGACCCTGTCTGGGGCTACCCCGTGTTCTTGGGTATCGGGCTGGGTATCTGCTTATGCACACTCGTCACGATTGCACAGCTGTCTACTCCTCCGGAACTCATTGCCATCACCAGTGGTCTGATGATTGGCGTGAGATCTTTGGGCGGATCCATCGGTCTCGCAATTTGTGAGTTCCAGACCTCTGCACTGGAGGAGACGCGAGGAGAAAAAGCTTGCTAATAAGAGCTTTCAATAGACAACGCCATCATCACCGACCAGCTCTCGAGAATGCCTAGCAATATTGCTGCGGCTGTTCTGCCCCTTGGACTTCCTCAAACGTCTCTTGGACAATTTATTGGTCTCTTGGTCGCTCATGATAACGCTGCATTGAGTCAAGTTGAGGGAGTCACACTGGACATCATCCAGGCAGGTGCTGGTGCGCTTCTGCAAACTTACAGCCTTGGCTTCCGTTACGTTTGGATCGCTGCCGGCTCTATTACAGTTGTCGCTGCCATCGGTGAGTTCTATTCTACTTACCCACCTTGTTTCTCTCTAGTTAATCAATCGCTGCAGGTGCTTTCTTCCTCGTTGAGCTTGAAAATGAGTTCAACATGCACATCGACGCTCCGGCTGAGAAGGAAGATGATTTGTACTCGAAGTAAACCTAGTGTCCTGATATTCGTGCTGATGTCTTGCTCCTAATTCGCCTAGAATGAAACTCAAACTTAATCGGCAATTATGAACTAGAGAAGATTGTAAAAATTGTAATAAGAAACTTGCTCTATCAACAAATTAGTTCACATTTGCTGTTCAACATGCTGCCTCAAGGCGTGCGGAGCGAACTCCGGACATTCGTCCGCACGCCATGTTGAATCAGACTCGAGAAAGTAACTATCAAAATGGTGCATGAGTCTTATGGCGTGCTCCTCTTGTTGGAAAGTGCTCCGTTGAGCTACTACACCATCTCTCGTGCAATATCGGTTACGCCTTTCCACCGAAACCTTGTCGATATCCTGCATCAAATTTTGCAGCGTATTGTTGAAGAGTTGTATTTCCCAGTTCCAACAGCTCAACTCCTGCAAATATCGTACGAGGTAGCATATTCAATGTTAGAGATGTGGATCATACTTGTTTTTTCTGTTGGTGGCAGTTTGAAGACACAGGGACCGGGGCCTTGTTGGTCGTAAACGGACTTTACATCGGGAAGTGGCCCCTCATAGCCGTAGGTAGCATTGTGGCTCCTTCAACCATGCCCAGTTCTTGGTGCAAGGGTGGCATGAATCATTGACACAGCCCTTTACGACTACGAATACCTATTCGTACCCAAGACTCAAGGGGCCAGGCCGTTGCGTTTCCATCGGTATAAGGGTCGTCCGAGCAGACAATGCCACACAGACTTCGAGATCTTGAACATGCCGACTGATTGGAAATCACATCTGGGTTCGATCATACGGCGGGCGTTCTCAGGGACGAGTGATCAGTGGATGGACAAGCCCGGACCAAGTGATGCCGAGGGCAGGGGATCCTCGCTAGTCGATTTTCATCTTCTGGGGAAGCCCAGATTTTAAACTCTTGTTTTTTCTGCCCAGACTTGGCTGATCAGCAAGACTGCTTCGACTTCAAGTCTTGATGTATCAGTGAAGATCGCACGTTAGACATCTGTTGGATTATTGACATGAAGCAGAATCACACTATGGGGGTCCGAAAATTTGCGCGTAGAAGGTGTAGCATTCGTGATTCGGGAAACGAATCCCCTTTAGGGCCAAAGAAGTAGCTGGACGGGTCGCTGCAGGTTCAGACTGGGGTTGTATCCCAGCCAGTGGGTAATTTGGGTGACCCTGGTTGGGATCTTATGAACTTCGCGAAGACACCAACCGAGTTGCGAAATTTATCCCCTGCATCTCTTACGTTCGCTCACAGTCAAATGAGTGATACTCGCTTACGCAATCCGTAATGAACAAGCAAGACACAACTTAATACAACAGGTGTATACAATACGGTCTGAAGGGAGCAAGAAGCCAACCAGCCCCAGAACAGAAATTTCTTTGGGCTCACCAGAATTATCTGTGTTGACTTCTAGGGTTTGAAAGATTGATCTAAACACCGATGCAACGAAAACTCATCGGACTAATACCGAGGGATCCACTCAGAATATGGCAAGTAAACGTGACATTCACAGAGCACGGATGGTTCCATCAAGTGTCAGTGTGGCTTCGAGAGGTTCTTTACTAATTGCAGAAACGGGATCAGCTCCGACGCAATATATCCAGTAGCTTCTACTATGGGCGGGATGCCCTGAGGGAGGTCGAAGGTGGGCACTTCTACTGCCATATCAGGGAGCACCGTGGCGTGTCGTAGTAACGTCTAACAGATGCAGTTGAGAGGTAAATGTTCAACCTACATAGAAAGAGTACAAACTCCTTGGGTTGGAATGACGATATCTCCCAATATTTGAAATCCAGCCTTTGGAAATAAAGATCCTTTAATTCACATTAGATGACTCCTCTCGTGAAACTTACCGTTAGATCGCGGGATACATGTATGTACTGATTCTGAAGGCTCGGATGTGGACTCAAGTTACCGTTGCAGGGTGCCTCCAGAAAAGTATGGCCACTTTCGGCGCCCTCGGGCGACGATAGGCCCGAAGATGCGAGCCCGGGTTAAAGGTCAGAATAACTCTCAATAATACTCGCGTGTAAACGGCGCAGTTCATGATGGTAGCGGAACTACCACATCAAGATCGAAAGGGTCCGCGTGGCATGATCGGCAAGAGTCGGGGGGCAAGTCTGGACCGAAAATTGCTCATATGGAGGAACGAAGCCGTCAAAGTCGAATGGAGACTACTGGCACCCAACTCCCAATGTGAGATCGTTAAGTCGGCGTTATCAAGATTTACGTCCGGCGGAGGCTGGTAGAGCTTATACAGTGGCATTATAGCCCCTGAATGGTCAAGTTCTGATGCCTCATGTCCCCAATGCCTTCCAGAAGTCCCAGATTTCCGGATATAGAAACTGGATTTCCCTCCTTCTTTCACAAGCTGTCGCACCATCAAAGTCTTTGCTGGTGCCGAACCTGTTTACTGGGAAACGGTTGGCCAAGTTCCTGGATGCCAAGGTAGGATACGCGGCGGGGATTTAGGAGTACTCCGTGGCTGTACCATCGTTGTATAGCCGTAAGAAGGAATGCTATCCCTTGAGGACCCCGGCGCGACTTGCCCTTGATGTTGCATGGGGCAGGCTCATCCTAGCTTCAGCCGGGGGACGATCCGGGCCCACATCCCGAACGACTTTCTTCAGGAATGAGACCCCCTCGAGTGTTGGAATGCCCCCGTTCATGCAGACATCTCAGCCTGGAACAGATTCAAGTAATGGTAATATGACCGCGCTGTAATTGCGCAAGTATTCGCGTGAAATTGACGGTACCTATTCAATATGATATCCTTCCTGAATGCTCTTCGCCGCGCGTGCCTCCGAAAATCCGCAGATTCTTCATGCTTCACATTCAAAGTTTCCTTTTCTTCATGTTTCTAGCTTTCTACAATCTTTCTGGTATTAGTTCATTACTCCTCTTGGCGCCGTGCGCGTAAGTTCTCAAAATGGTTGCGGGACCCAATGTCTCCGTCTTCGTCACAAGCATAATATTCACAACTCTTTCTTTTGTCCTCGTTGGGCTGCGATTATACACGCGCATTGTGGTGGTGCAAAATGTTGGAATCGATGACTGGTTGATGCCTGCCGCATTGGTAAGCTCAGTTTACCAACTCTCAGGTGGAAACGGGATGGGAAAGCTGAGATCTTTAACTAGGCGGCCTCAATCGGCTTTTGCGTCGTTGTCATGCATCGTGAGTATTTTGATTAGGCACATGCTAACATCGAAGAAACGTTGCTCACAACATCACAGAAATCAAGTTTGGATTAGGTATGCCGATGTCTACCATCGCAGAAGATGACCTGGTCCGATTCTTCCAGGTAAGTCAGGAATTACAGATGAATGTAATCGGAGGATTGGTACTAATATTTCACACCGGCAGTGTCTCTGGGCGACGATTCCGACCTACAATCTAGCTCTGTTGCTTTGCAAGCTATCGATCGTCTTCTCATACTTGCGCGTGTTCAAGATCCCGACAACACAGAAGATTTGCAAGACCATGCTGGCTGTGCTCGCGGTATACGGTGCCTGGACTGTCTTTGGATCAATCTTCATGTGTGTTCCCGTACAGGCCTTCTGGGGCGACGGCACGGGGAAGTGCATGAACCGCTTGGCTTTCTGGTTTTCCAACGCAGCTTTGAACATTCTCTCGGACATTATCATTTGTTGCATTCCCATACCACTGATCAAATCCCTGCAAATATCCAAGAAGCAGAAGATTGCGCTCATCATGGTCTTCGCCGTGGGAGGATTGTGAGTCTCTGTTTGGCAGACTTTCTTGATCTGGTCTATAACTGACAAATTCTACAACAGTGTTTGTGTGACTTCTATGATTCGGCTTTACTCTCTTTACGAGATTTCCGTATCTACCGACACATCACGTAAGACTCAACTTGAAGAGGATCCGGCATAAAGCAACTAGTATATCATCAGGCTAACACCACGCGAATAGGAGATGGAGTCCACATTGCGACATGGTCCGGCATAGAGATCAACGTCGCCATAGCCTGCGCCTCTGTACCTGCACTCAAGCCACTCATCGTGAAAGCATTCCCGAAACTGTTGGCGAGTACTCAGCGCAGTGGATATCGATCAGGCAACGCTTACAGTGGGATGAATGCTGAGGACTCGCATCACATGCAATCAATGCGGAGTCGGAAGGCTACCAAGACGAATACAAACATCGCCATTGAGACAAAAATAGAGATTGTAAGTCGCAACGGTAGCCAAGCCGACTTGGTACGACAGGGAGGTGGAAACGGCACCATGGTGGCTGAGTGTTATTCAACAGAGGAGAGACCGCCGGCTCAAGGTCGTGATATGGTTTGAAGGGAGTGAATGTGTGAAAAACGTATCATCTTAGCGTCAGAGAAAAGCAATGTTGTAGGACCATATACTGAGAGGCGACGGAACAACGTGTTCATAATGCTACATGTGCTGGGAGTTCGAGAGTAGATCCGGTCCCTAGCGAGCTACTGTAGATTAATTATCTAACGGGCTAATAGTGAACATTCCAGCATACCTACTGGAAGATCATGACAGCGTCTGGGAATTGTGAATACTTGGAACGCAACCTGATCTTATCAGAGTGGCTTAATACTAGAGATTGTCCGAAATGGAACTATAAGTAGAGTAATTTCAAAGTGATACGCTTGCATTGTCAACCAGAGTCTGGAAGGACTACAACTTTTACTCTTGAACAAGAGACTATCCTAATACTTTTGACTTCCTATCCTAGAAAGTCTCTTGTGCCGGCCTCATATCCAACTCATGCGTCCAGAGGGAGCTCGGCTGCTGTGACAACCAAAGATACAACTCTCCAACATCTTCCGCGCGCATCCGCTTGCCGGTCTTGGTGTTCTCGTTCTCTTCATCGATAATTCCGCCATTGGCAATAGCATGAACCACGTGTACACCAAACTTGCTGTGTTCCTTTGCAATAGCCTGGGCTACCATCCTCGCGGCTGCTCGAGATGCACCATAGGCAGCGTACTGCTGATTTGTACGCATGGCTCCCAAAGTGCCCGTGAAGATGATGGTGCCCTTCTTCGCACCCTCAGTATCGGAAAGAAGCGTCTGCCCTCCATTCTGTGCGTACATAAGCTTCAACGCTTCTTGCGCAAATACAACGCCTCCGGTTGTGAAGGTGCTCATGCTGTCATTGAAAGCTTCTGGCGTTTCTTCGAGGAATGGCTTCCTGCTCGAGTTCTTGACGTGGTATATGGCGAGCTTGAGCTTGAGATCTTTGAAGTCTGCATGATCTGCGATTTGTTGGAAAGTCCGCCGGAGGTTTTCGGGCTCAGTGTCTGTAGGAAAGGGGTGGAGTATGCCATTGGAAGACTTGCGTAGATCGGTCGCAAGATTCTGGAGGTTTTCGGGGTTTCTGGCAAGTAGCGCAACTGCCAAGTTGCCATGTTGGGGGCTGGCTAGAATTCGAGCGATCCCTGCGCCGGAAGTAGGCCCTGCACCGATGATGATTGCGAGTCCTTTGGGCGCCATTGTGTAGTCAGTCTCAACTTTATGGTGGTGTCTTGAAGTACAGTTTGATGTTTCTAATATCTGATTCTGATTACATGGTCTTGAGTTAGACCATCAGCATACCTCCCATTTATATACTTACTCATACACAGCTCACTGAATTGATTGTAGTGGTGCTGGCTGGACTTCCCATGGGAACGGACGTCATTGATCGTCCGATCCGTGCCCAGGCCGTGCCCCGCGCCGACTTATAGTGGAATAAAGTGATATAAATTCGGGGATAAGACGTCACGATTTGCTCAAGACGCCTATGTCCGATTTAGTGGCTGCAACCTGCTGACCATGCTGACGGAGGCAGCTCTGGCTGACTAAATCATGCTTGATGTCTATCATTACCTTAGCTAATAGTCAACTGAATAAGTTCTGTGTGCATTTCTCTATTTGTCAATAGCAGGCGATCTGGCCTGGCGGATGCCACCCTGATACTTTGGACATGGACATACACGCTCTTATCATTGCAACGTGGTGCAAATATGTTTGTCGACTTGAGTCGTTTCTCCGGCCGGTCCTACCAAGCTAATCCATCTTCAAGATTCAAAAAGCTAAAGTAAATATGAATGGTGCGAGCCAACAACAGAGCCACGCCTAGGGGAATTCAAATATAAGGTAGTTGAAGTATCTTGCGAACTCAAATTTGCATCGCCTTGACCGAAAGACTTACTTAGAAGGATTCCAACATTGGCGATGTGAGGCTGAGCGCCTTTGGGATCACGTAAATACTCTGATAGAAATAGAGTCTTGAAAGAGGCATGTAGCTTTGAGACCAGGTTTGGTTGAGTTGCTCGAATTAAGGCGGCCATTTACATCTTTAAGCAGCCATTGAACGTAGGCCAGTCCCCGCGGCGTTATTGGGATGTCTGTCGAAGACCTCAAAGTCCGTCATTCAGCCGGGCAATGGCGTCATCTTTACCGGTGTAATCGAGAATGGGAGATTTGACGTGATTACGTTCTTCCTCCCATCATTGGCTGTTTTCTTTAGAAAATCCATATATATTTGCAATCGAGGCTACGCTCAAGCAATGTTCACGGAGTTCGGGTACTCTGAACCCCTCTTGGCGCATGTTGCAGCACACGGAGCCAATCGTAATCCTCTTGACCAAGTCTCGCTGCATGGGTGCGAAAGACCTCTAGGATTTGAATATTGCGACATGGCGGGGTTGATGATTAATTTTTGTTTGTTGTAAGGTAGACTAGAGAAGAAGGTCCTCAGGTGCTTCCCTTGAGATAACTTACATCGTCCACCTCAAATCTGAAGCAGAGCTCATATTTTGCATGATTCCATACGTTAGGTATAGTAACATTCAAGCACGATGACCGCAACAAACCCTTTCTCCCAAGTAAATTTCACGAGGTTTTTAGGACAAGCTTTAATTCTATCTGTTCTTATTCTGGTCGGCTATCTACTACAAAATGAAATAAAGAGGCATCGAGGTAAAATCAAACATGTTCCTGGTCCTCTTGGGTGGCCTGTGGTTGGCAACCTTTTCCAGGTAACTGAACATTTATATACCATGAGTGATCGTTCTTGGAGAAAGTAACTGATACAACGCAGAATCAAGACCAAGTACCAGCAGAAACATACCGAGTCTGGGCAAAGAAGTATGGGCCCGTGTTCCAGATACAGCTAGGAAATACCACGGCTGTTGTCGTCAACACTGTAGAGTCTGCCAAACAGCTATTTCTCGGACAACGCCATGCGATGAATTCTCGACCAACCTTCTATGTATTCCATGGAAAGGTCAGCAAAGCCGTTACAAGTATCGGCACCAGCCCATGGGACGACTCCTGTAAACGTCGCCGCAAGCTCGCAGCTGGGGCATTGAATCGTCCGCGGGTAGAAAGCTACGCGCCTATCTTGAATTTGGAGGCACGAGAGTTTCTCAAAGACCTATACGAAGAATGCTGTGGTGGTTCGGTGGATCTCGACTTCCGTCCGGCTGTCAGGCGCTTTGCCCTCAATCTTAGCCTGACGCTCAACTATGGGACAAGAGCCTCCCATGTCAAGTCCCTGGAGGAAGATCCTCTATTTTCCGAGATAATTTATGTCGAATCCGAGATCTCAAAACTTCGCGACACAAGAAAGAACTACACTAACTACATACCCTTGCTGCGATACTGGGAGCCGATTGCTAGTGTGTTAGGTTTACAGTCCACACCGAAGAATCACGCTGGGGACATTGGCCGTCGAAGATTGGAATACAACGACGTACTCCTCAGCCGACTAAAAGACGAGATTGCTCGGGGTAAAGACAAGCCCTGCATTCAAGGCGCTGTTCTGAAAGACCCTGAGTCGGCAACCCTTACGCGAGAGGAGTTGATCAGTGTGAGCCTCAGTATGATGGCAGTAAGTTCATCCTACAATTAAACCGGAAGCTCATGATGGACTTGCCCTGATATATTCCAGGGCGCCGACTCGAACCAGCCTACCTTGGCTTGGGCTATTCTTCTACTTGCACACCGCCCTGATATTCAAGACAAAGCATATGCCGCCATCCAAGATGCTGGTGTTCTACAGCAATCATCCAACACATACGCTTCTACAAAGATTGACTACATAGATGCACTGACAAAAGAGATCTCGAGATACTTTGTCGTCTTGAAGCTCGCGCTACCGAAGGCGACATACGCTGATGCCACCTGGGAGTCCGCCACGATTCCGGCCAACACTCTGGTTTTCTTGAACAGCTGGTCATGCAACAGAGGTGACTTTGCCACAACTCAGATGAAGTGTCATATTAGACTGACCGCCAAGCTAGACCCTGACCTATTCAAGGAGCCCGAAGTATTTGCCCCTGAGCGTTGGCTTCCAGATGCACCGGATCAATACGCGCATCAATTCGCCTTCGGTATGGGGGGCAGAATGTGTGTAGCGTCTCATCTTGCACACAGTGCCTTGTACACAGCCTTTTCGCACTTGATCGCCCGATTCAAGATCTTGCCTGCAGACGGTAAGGGTTCTGTGGAGATCGATCCGATCAAAGGACTTGATGGCCTCTCGTTTGTTGCCAAACCGAAAGGCTTTCAGGCCAAGTTCGTGCCAAGAGATGGAGCACGATTAGACGCTTGGTTGAAAAACCCTGATGAGTGCATGTAGATCCATGCACTCTTAATTCTTGAAAAGAAATAGATCTCGTTGGTGGCAAGGCTGTTTGTGTCCAACCAATTGAATGTTGCTGGGACATGTTGATTCACTTTAGGCTTGGTGATTTAAGGTAAATTGTAAGTGGAGGAGGTATCATTTACGGACATCCGTGTGTAATGAAGTCAAGTAGAATCATACATATCAACATTGTAGAGGTGGTCTGAAGATATTTGTGCGACTTGTCAGCATATACTGCCACTCATCTTATCGGCGCCACGCCTGTACATTTACCTTAATATCTTGTAAAACCTACGTGAATGGTCCGATGCCTTGAAATTAATAAGGTGTGCCGGGAAACGCACGTAGAAGGACTAATAGCATAGCTTACCGTTTTCCCGACATACAAAAGCCTAATGTAAGCCCAGCGAGTAGCTGTCCACTAATCAGGACCGCGCAACATCCGAACATCGGGGACCAGACTGCATGCAGTCAGCAGCCACTCGCAACTAATCATTGTGATGGATAACGGACTTGGTGCAGTATGTCGCCATAGGCCGTGCGGGCCATTCCACCGAACCCCGCCGGACACCATTAATTACTTAAACCACCGAGCTACACTATTCGGACATTTACAACACTATGCTCAACCCAATAACTCTATGCCCAGTCGCTAACTCACATCAATTTAACGGGTAACGGTTTTCGATCTTTGTGTTCCAAGATGTCTTCTCCAAACCTTAACGCTGCCGACCTCTTCGGCGTCAAGGGCCTCATCGCCGTAGTCACGGGTGGGGGAACTGGTACGTCATTCATCAACCGCAGTAGCAACCCTCCAGTATTTGCTTACGATTCAACCTAGGCATCGGTCTCATGATTGCACAAGGCCTCGAGGCGAACGGGGCAATTGTATACATCATCGGCCGACGGAAAGAAGCTTTGGAACAGGCGGCAAAGACAGCTGTAAGTTTCTGCGAGAGCGTTGGGCCCAGCAGAGTCTATCATCCATACCGGTCATGCATGGCCCTTATGTTCGAGAGGTATGACGACTGATGTTGGCGCCCTAAATGTGAATAGAAAAACGGCAACATTCGCACCATCCAAGGTGATATCACCTCAAAGAGCGACCTCGAGCGAGCGGTCGCAGAGATCAAGGAGGCTCACGGATACGTCAACGTCGTCATCGCCAACTCAGGCATCGGCGGACCGGCTCTTAAGGGCTTGCCCCCTAACCCGACCATTGCTCAGTACCGCGACTTTGTCTTTGGCTGGGAGCAGAAGGACTTCACCGAGACCTTTGCTGTGAACGCTACCGGCGTGTTTTTCACGGTCGCAGCATTCCTGGAACTTCTCGATGAGGGTAACAAGCGCAGCAATTTCAAGCAAAGGAGCCAAGTCATCGCGACTAGCAGCATTGGCGCGTACAACCGCAACCCGATGGGCTTCGCTTATGGAGCGTCAAAGGCAGCTGTGGTGCACATGTTCAAGCAACTGTAAGCAGTCCTGAAAGAGTTACAAGAGCCGGCCTCGAGACTAACATCTATCAAGGAGCACCACGCTGGTCCCATTCAACATCCGCGCCAACGTAATTGCGCCTGGATGTAAGTCTACTTCCTTCCGACGCCACGTAGGGCACTCGTTTTGGCTCGGGGTCCATGGGGTGGGCTCTTCAATCATCTACTAATCTCAATCTACAGTCTACCCGAGTGAGATGACAACGGCAACGGTCGAGGCCCACAAGGAGGGTTGGCCCAAGACTACCATTCCTGAAGAGAGGGCGGGAGACGTAGAAGATATGGCTGGTGCTGTGTTGTTCTTGGTCAGCAGGGCAGGCGCTTACACCAACGGCAATGTGCTCGTAACAGACGGCGGAAGGCTTGGAATCGTGCCGTCTAGCTACTGAGCGACTTGGAGTTGCAAGTGTGAATACTTGAGAGGCGTTAAATAAGAACTTTGATATAGTCTCAGTCCTTCGTCCTTTTGGTGATACACCTGAGATTGAAAGTTCTGTTTTGTGAATAAAATCGAAGCTTGTGGTCCATCGAGAGGTAACTGTGCCTCGGCTGTGGTCGAGAGAAAAACGAACTTTATCAAAACTTCAAAAGAACAGATGTCTAGCGCACAAAGAATAGCTTGGCCTGTGAGATAGGTCAAGGTCTACGCATGAAGAGACGCTAATTACGCTGATTCTTCTCTACACTTCAAGGTATAATGGGCGACAGTGATCGCTCATCGTGAAAAGATGAAGTCTCAGATGTTGAGCAGCCCAAGTCTCATGTTTCCGATGGCTCGTATTCGTGACATTCGGAAGAGCTCCTACAAGCGAAACCCAGGGGAAACGGCACTATTTGAGTGTGAGAAATGCGGAGATCATAGCAGGCTGCCCCCGCTACTCCTGCACATGTGAACCGGGGTGATGTCACCCTAACGTGCCGCAAACACATGGATACAAGGGATGTAGCCAACCAGAACCGAGAAGTTTCGCGATCAACGCCTCCAAGTACCGGGAAGGAGCAATTATCCATCCGGCATCTTCCCGCTATTCTAGGTTCTGACTGGAGTTCTTGGCTTCGGCTGGACAACCCTCCCGCAATGTGCCAATCCACGCGAACCACTGAGACATGAGATTGGCTACATTCTTCACCCATTTGGGGCGGACAACCTCGAACTCACAATCGCAAGCCAATGAAAGAACAACAAAGAAGTTGGCATCATGGGCGAGCTGAAAATCGGATGTGGACCACCTCTTCCCAATGTTTGTGTCTTAACCTAGCCAAGTACGTCCTGGAGGCAAGCGAGCAAACGAATCGGCGCGCTCCTACAGGCTACTGGTAAGTCGAGGCATCATAGCGCTGGTCGCGCTGGCGGCCACTGGGTTCCAGACTGAAAGGGTGGACTGGTCATCCATGCTCCTGCTGAAACGGAATCTACACATCCGATGCAGGCTGGTATGGGAACCACCACTCTTTATATCCATAACCACACCCAGTTGCCAGCTTTCAGCTACCTTTGAGGGCCTGCATCCGAACTTGCTTTGAATTTCTGGCAGAGCTTTGCTTGGGAGTCGAGAGTGGTATCTCATCATGTTAAGTCCTTTGTCAGTGGCGCTTTTGGCGCTACCGGCGCTTCTCTTGTACCTGTACTCTGCCCTCAGCTATCGCCGGCTGAAGCAATACGCCAACTTTCCTCAGCTGAAGCCTTCAATAGTATGGGGTCACCTCAAGGCCATAAACGAACACCACGTGAAGCGCAATGAGAAGGACTCTCAACTCGGTCCGTATTAGCGACGGGAGGTATGTGGTGCTGTGGGCTAATCTCAGTTTCGCAGATCCCACCATGGGAGATATGCTCGAGGAGATCGGTAACCCTCCCATCATGCTTCTAGACCTTCGTCCAGTCAGCCGGCCCCTACTGGTCATCCGAAGCCATGAGATCGCGGAGCAGGTATCAAGACAATCAAAGATGTGGCCCTACAGCGCACCAAAGTCCGACACCATGATGTATCTCACACCGCTGCTGGGCGAGAAGTCAATCGTAATGTCTCAAGTAAGAGGTTCCTTCGCATGTTTCACGTTTGTTCTCTTTTTACAGAATATGGACGCGAAAACATCCGTCAGAATATGATTTAATGTGGACTCTTCTCGCAGGGCTCCGGATGGAAAGACATGAGAAAGCATTTCAACCCTGGCTTCGCTCCCCAGCACCTCATGAGTCTGATGCCAGTAATTTTGGAAAAGACTCAGACCTTCCTCGCCAAACTCGACGAACTCGTCAGGACGGGTGAAGAGTTTGAGCTGGAGCCTTTGTGCACTAATCTTACTTTCGATATCATTGGTAAGTCTCATCAAGTTTCTGTAGTCAGAGCAGCATTTCACTAAAAATTGACACATAGGTGCCGTGACGATGGATGTTGATCTTAACGCACAGCTTCCCGAGGACCAACAAATAGAGTTCATTAAGGGTTACAAGGAGTTTTTGACCTCATACAGGGAGGGCAGTGGTATACTGAAGTGGTGGGAGAACCCGCAGCTGGGCAGGAAACGAAGGCGACTTGCCAAGTCTTGCAACGTCTTCCTCGAGGATGTCATTCGTCGCAAATTCAACGATGTGAAGCAGGACAAGGGGTCATCGAGCCGGAGTATTCTGGCTCTCAGCTTGAAAGACACACAGGTCTTGACACAGGATATCATCGACGGGACGAAGGATCAACTCAAAACCTTCATGTTCGCAGGGCACGACACCACCAGCATCCTCCTCCAATGGGCCTTTTACGAGTTATCAAGGACGCCTCGGGCAATGAAGAGCCTTCGGACTGAGCTAGAGAGCCTCTTCGGCCAGGACTTGAGCCCCGAAGTCGTCCGGGAAGCTCTACTCGCCAGGGGTGAGGAGATCACCCAGAAGATGACCTATACCTCGGCAGTCATTAAGGAGATTCTGCGCCTGTACCCACCAGCTGGGACCGCGCGCCTTTGCCCCCCGGGCGCGAACTTTCACTTGCAGTTACCAGACAACAGCAGCCTCTGCGTTGATGGGATGGTTCTGTACAACTGTGCCACTCTCATCCAGCGAGACCCTGACGTCTATGGAAGCACTAAAGACGATTTCGTACCCGAGCGATGGCTCGGGAATACGGACACGTCAATGGCAACGAATGACGACGAGAAGATGGGCATTGGCAAAGCTGGCGAGAACGAGATTCCCGCCGCCGCATGGAGACCTTTTGAAAGGGGTCCTAGAAACTGCATCGGACAGGAGCTTGCCAACATCGAGGCCAGGGTGATTTTGGCTAGTGTTGTGGGTAAGTATGTCTTTGAAAAGGTCGGTCTAGGGGAGGCTACGCTGGACGAGAAGGATCGTCCCATCATCAACGAAAAGGGGCAATACAGGTCCAATACACAGCTTTACAACGTAAGTCCTCCATTATGATAAGCCCATTATGAGAATCACCCAAGAGCACGCCTCACTAACATATCGCAGACGAGACAAATTACTGCCCGGCCGGTTGACAATATGAGGGTCCGAGTGAAGCACCAGGTCCCAACTAGAGCCTGAGATATTATGGGACCGTCGATAAGGTCTAGAAATAGCTTGTTTTCCGTGTAAGCAGACACTGTCGGTCAAATACAGACTATCGAGGGGTCAGCTTGGTATCAATCTGATGTTTTGCCAATGCCAAAAACTACACACATCCAGTAGTTCAAGTTTGCTTGGTTAGAGAAATGTTTGTAAACTATGTCGCGTTTCCTCAACTTATGATTTGAGCTTCTAAGCGCCAGGCACCTCATCATGATTTACAGAGCGTTGAATGGTCTACTATTTGACATTGAAATTGGATTACAAAATGGCGCTGGATCTCACTCATGACGTGACATGAAATTGGTTCATTTGAGCACTTCAGAGTTAAAATTAACTTGAAACACTAAGCTTAGGTGTATGATGCGAAATCTCACTCAAGATATCTAACATGCTTCATTGACATGAGCAAGACCTGATTAATAGTAGTGTTAGAAGTGTGGCTGGTGCATGCAAGAACGGCTTATTTTCTGTGGCGCATGGCATACGTAGTTGGGAAGCTTTGGTCCTGTTGGGTTGGGTTGCTACAGGCGGGTGGGTCAGTTCGGAGACCAGCGGCAGCGACAGCGACAGCTACCAAAGCTCCCCACAGCAGCGTCATTGGAGCGCGAGGCACCGACGTCAATCAACAACCGCCGTTGCGCTCACGCTTGTCGACCTTGCCTTTCCCTCAACTTGCTGTCGCTAGGAGATGTAGCCATGGCCTTTCAGGTTCGTTTGCAAATCTCCCCTCAATGTGCTCTCTGCGACCCGACGTCCGCTAACCACCTGCACTGAAGTGGAAGGCATTCGACTTCTTCGACGTCAGCCAGGTCCGGCTCGCCGATGAGGAGACCCGAGTCTTCTTCGAGAGCAACGAGATCGCTAGTGTTTGCTCCGGTTCCGACAGTCTATTCCTCGGTAGCTACGATGGATACGTTCGAATTGTCGGTTCGAGTTGGAAGGTGGTGAAGAGCTTCCAGGCTCACGAGCTCGGGACGATCACACACATGCGCCAGATCGAGGGGACAAGCCTGCTTGTTACTGTCGCTGTAGGTGGACGCAAAAATCATGAGATGACGAGAATGGAAACTGACATCTGAGCAGGAAGACCTCAGCAGCGAGCCGGTGTTAAAGATCTGGGCTCTGGATAAGCTGGTGAAGAAGACCAATATGCCGACTTGTTTAAGCACTTTGCAGATCAACAATGGCAGGAAGCAATTTCCGGTAAGGGAGGAGTCGAGTGCATATTTCCAAAGCATCAACTAATCACTTTCTCATCCAGATCTCGGCTATCGATGTTCTCGACAATCTTACCCAAGTAGCAGTCGGCTTCGCGAACGGCACGGTGACCCTGATCCGAGGCGACTTGATCAACGACCTGGGGGCGAAACAAAGGACGGTGCACGACTCAGAAGAACCTATCACAGGCGTGGAGCTCATGACGGATTCCCAAGATGTCACGACCCTGTTCATCTCAACAACAGCCCGAATTCTGAAGCTTGGGATTTCGAGAAGGGGCCACAGCTCCCCCCCCAAGACTGTGGAAGACATGGGATGTCACGTTGACTGTATGACGGTTGACAAGAAGACAGGGGACGTGGTAGTCGCCCGAGAGGATGCCATCTACACCTACACCTTGGAAGGCAGAGGAGCGCCGCGTGCGTACGAATCGCCGAAAAGACTAGTTTCGATCTACCAGGATTACGTTGCACTGGTATGCCCACCATCGGCTTCCACCACCGACAAAGGCAACGACACTATGCGTCGACGCTTTGGAGGTGGAGGTGGAGCAGCGGATGCGCTCTTCAACGCATCAACGTTCATTCTTCTCGAGCCAGACCTTAGAGTGCTCGGCCACACACAATCTCTGATCTCGCCATTCAAAGCCATCTTCCAAATCTGGGGTGATCTGTTCGTTCTCACACAAGATGGCAAGGTAAACCGATACCATGAAAAGTCACTGCAACAGCGCCTCGAAATGCTGTACCAGCGCAACATGTACCCCTTGGCTATTGAACTGGCACAAAAGTCACGGCTGGATGCGACACAGCAGAGCGGCATCTTCCGACGCTTTGGCGACCATCTGTATCAAAAAGCTGATTACGACGGTGCCATGGTCCAATATATCAAGGCGATCGATACTACTGAACCATCACAGGTCATCAGAAAGGTAAGCTTCCACATCCAGAAGAAATAGAGCGCAGGAAGACTAATAATCATAGTTTCTCGATACACAAAGGATACACAACCTGATACAGTATCTTGAGCAGCTACATGAGCATCGCAAGGCAACGTCTGACCACACAACATTACTTTTGAACTGCTATGCGAAGCTCAAAGATATCGACAAGTTGGAGGCATTTATCAAATCACCCGGTGATTTAAAGTTTGACCTCGAGACTGCAATCACTATGTGTAGGCAAGGAGGCTACTACGAACAAGCTGCGTATCTTGCCAAGAAGCACGGCGAAATCGAATTGGTCGTGGACATCCTGATAGAAGACTCCAAATTGTACAACGAGGCTCTCGATTTTATATGGCATCAAGACCCGGAAGTGGTGAGTTCCATACTTCTCCAGTATTTGAACAATTCTGATATTTCATTAGGCATTCCCTTGCCTCAAGAAGTATGCCAGAGTTCTCATCGAGAACTGTCCAAAGGATGCGACCACAGTCTTCGTGGACTACTACACTGGCAAGTACCGTCCGAGGCTACACTTTGTACCGATTGAGGACAACGGAGAGGCTGTTGTAGCCGGCGGCATGGTGGCCGGTGCAGCAAGTGCCGTCCAGAACCTTTCCAACTTTTTACCTCTGCCATACATGAACACATCTTCTCTCCAAAGCCCATCCACACCGGGCAATGGAACAGCCATCAACGGCGATGCTCAGATCATCTTGAACCCCGACGACATTCCTGCGCCGAAATACACCCCACCGCCTCCAAGGACTGCTTTCTCATCCTTCATCGACCATCCAGACGAGTTCATTGTTTTCCTGGAGGCATGCCTAGAAGACACAGGTCTTAAGGAAAGCGACAGGACAGATTTGTACACCACACTCTTTGAGATGTACCTACACAAGTCAAATGAGAAGAAAGGGGAGCAGCATCGAGAAGAGTGGGAGAACAAGGCGAAGAAGCTCATCGAAGGAGAAGACATTCCGATGGAGAGTTCCAATGTCCTGTTGCTTTCGCACCTTTCTGACTTCAAGGACGGCACAACCTTGGTCAAGGAGCAATCCGGTTTACTCTTTGACATTTTCCGATCGTACACCTCGGCCAAAGATACCCGCGGAGCCATCAAAGCCCTTCGAAAGTATGGCCCCGAAGAACCGCAACTATACCCTGCAGCCCTGGCATACCTGACTTCCGACCCCCGAATTCTCCGGGAAGCCGGATCAGAAGAGCTTTCTGCCGTCCTCAACAAAATTGACAAGGACGGCCTCATGGCACCGTTGCAGGTCATCCAGACGCTGGTCGGCCAGTCCGGCTCCTCAGGCGGCGTCGCGACAATGGGCATGATCAAGCCTTACCTCCACGAGACGATTGAGCGCGAGCGCAAGGAGATCGCCGCCAACCGGCGCCGCATCTCGGCCTTCCGCAGCGAGACAGAACAGAAGCGGGCCGAGCTCGCCGACCTCGGCTCCAAGCCGGCCGTGTTCCAGTCGACGCGCTGCGCCGTCTGCACGGCACCCCTCGACCTGCCCGCTGTGCACTTCCTCTGCAAGCACAGCTTCCACCAGCGGTGCCTCCGCACCGAGGGCGAGTGTCCGCAGTGCGCCAACGACAACGCGACGATCCGCGCGCTGCGCAAGACGCAGATTGAGACGGCGGGGAAGCATGAGCTGTTCAAGGCCGAGTTGGAGCGCAGCGAGGATCGGTTCGCGACGGTGGCGGAGTGGTTTGGTCGCGGCGTCATGGGGGCGCCTAATGCTGACACTGCGTAGGTGGGCCTTCCCTTCCCAAGGATTGGGCTGCTGTGGAAGGAGGTTTGCTCGGGGTTTGAAGGGAAGGCGTGTTTCTAATCGTGGACTTGAGGGGACTGACTACTCGCGGTTCATCTCAAGTTGGTTGTCTTGGGGAGTTAGGCCAGGCTGTGGTGGTGGTGGGGTGTTGGCGGAGAGGGAGCGATGAGCACATTGAGGAAAAGAAGATCGAACTACTCTGTTTGTATCGCGTAATTACTGTCATCTTCATAAGGTCGTGCCCTTTCCCTATGGGGTAGACTCGCTAGTCACAAATACCAGAGTCCCCATTAGTTTGAAGGATTTTGACGCGGGTTGTTTGTTTAGTGACGTGGATTGCAGTAGTATGAGTGGCAATTCGGAAGCCACTGTGAGGTAGTCTGCCAGGTAGAGAGCATTTTGATGGTCTGGGTTTTGGCCACCCCATGACAAGATTTTTGTCATGCTGGTCTTTACTACAACTTGTTCTGATTCTCGGGTAACGGTGAATGCCGTCACAATAAAGTATTCCCACATGGACTGCCTCAACTACCGATGACATTTCGACGCAGCTCGTCAGGATACCTAGGCGCAAACGAACACATAAAAAGAGAGCACAGGGACAGTCTCCAAATCAGAGCACTCATCTTTTTACAACGTGAGGAAATGGAGAAAATGTGTTCATCGCTTCTATTCATTCATAGACGAATCTTCCCATCACTTCTCTTTTGCTATCTGTGGTCGGATTTGGGTTGTGTACATGCAAGATTTCCTCCACAAAAAAAGGCGCGGAGAAATAAGAAGCGCTGTTCCGTCTGGGCGATAGACCCGGTCCCAGATGATCAACCTCCCGCCTCCGCTATTACAAACACAACCTCCTCCCGAAACCTCGCTGCCGATGCTAGATAAAGAAAAAAGTGTTCAAACTTCATGGGATGTGGAAATGATGAACAGGCATGACTATAGACCCCTATCCAAGTCGGACTTGCCCCGTTGCCCTCAACTTCCCCTGAAGACAAATGAAAAGCATAGAGGAAGAGTCTAATCGTCGA